ACCCAGTGGATAAAGTAACCCGGGAACGGTCAGGGCTTAGGAATTAAATGAAACGCATTGTTAGAGCTCGGTACTCCGATTACCTCCAATTTGCAGCAATGAGGGTATTTGTGGCTGGAATATGGATTTCACAAGCCTGCGATGTAACCCCAGACAAGAGCAATTACACCAGCTCAGTGGCATTTCCGACTCCAATTTAGCACATGGGAAGACAGAGGAAAAGCCATCTTGAGCTGTCAGCTCGTGTTGGAACCGTCCCTTTCACACACTGCGCTCAACTGGGAGACAGAGACTGCTGCATCCCCCTGGTCTGCCGGCAGGGAGGAGCAGGGACCTCTTAGGAAAAGTAACTGCAAGGGAGTCTCTTCTGCAGGAGCAGCTTGAGTTGGTTCCTCAGCTGCTGCCTCCCTCCCTTGTCTTGTCTCAGCCTCTCGCATCGGTCTGCAGTCCGGTCGGGAATCCCCGTACATTCCCTGGGGAGCACGTGGATAATGGAGGTTTCCACAGATACATCCGATGGAAGCTGTCAACATTAGAGAGCGGGAAGGGGGCCGCAGACCCGCGGTGGCTGTGACGCCCTGCCGGCTGTGCCGCCTCCGAGACTCCAGGTGTGGGCACAGCCAGGGACCCAGCAGCGGCCCCCCTGCCCGGCTCCCCTCGTCACAGTGACCTCCAGCAAGACGCCCTGCCCAGGGCACCCTCGGTGCCACCGCGGTGACAAGTGGCCAACAGCCAGACCAGCTCAGGCGCTCGCACCGTGACTCGCGGTGCAGAGCGCGTTACCCTCGCCCAAGGCTCTCCCGTCCCCGCTCCGAGTTGTGTCCCCTCCAGCCACAACTGCGTTGCACGTGCTGCTGAGCCCAGCAAACATCAGGCCATATCCTTTCACGTCCCCCAGAAGGGCTGACATCGTCAGGGTTTCCTGCAAAAGTGCCACTGGCCACCTTAGCCAGAACACAAACAGCTGAGCTGAAGGGATTGCAAGAGCTCAAGCAGTCACAGCATCACTTGTCCAGCACAGCTTGAGGCCCAGGGGTGGCCCCAGTGCTCCAAGGAGGCGCGATGAGAGGGCTCTGCTCTTCGCTGCTGTCCCCAGCTTGGATGCTCCTGCCACAAAAGGCACCTTCAGCAGCACCGGGAGACAAGGTTGAAGCAGCTGAGGGGGTAGCAAAGGCTCCCTGCTGCCAGCAGTGCTCTGAGGATGGATACACCCAACCACAAGAACCAGGGCCAGCAGCTGATGGTGCCAATGTTGACCCGCTCACCTACCGAGCCCCTCTGTGCAGAGTCTGACCAGGTCTACTAAGAGCTACAGTTGCCCCAAGAGCTCATGGGACAGCTCAGCACCCAGCAGGGCACTGCAGTGAGGGCTGCCAAGATAGTCTTCTCCCCAGGCTCTCTGGTTGGGCTGATAAGATGTTCCACCTACGGATGTCCTTGTGTTCCTTGCCTCCAGGGAGCACCATCCGGGCACCCTGGTTGTGGGAAGAGGCGACTGTGCCACCTGTTTTTGACCGTTGCTCTCCCATCCTCCCATCTTTCACAACAACTCCTTCCCCACCAGCCCCGATCGGTTACGCACAGATGCTTGAGGGGCAGCTATTGTAGCATTTTGCTCTTTTCGTTCTGATCATCTCTTCCCACCCCAAAAAGCACTTCATAAATGACACTACCAGAGATCCACTGCAGACAGACACAGCCCTCACGCACTGCAGGGGAAAGTGGCTGCAGGCAGGAGCCGACCCACGTACCAAGCGGCAGCTCCTGCGAGAGGGAAAATCTGGCACCTTTTTCCAATCACAGAGCCTTACTCAGGGCATCTGGAAATAAAGAGCTCTGGTTTTCAGCTCCATTTGAACATGAAAGATGATGGCTGGAACATAGAAAGGCTGTGGATACTCAAGATGCCATGAAAATCACCAGGTGAAAAGAAAGTACCAGAAAGAGGCCACAGGAAAGACGAACAAGATGCAGGAGGTCCTTTCATGTAGATGAAACTTGGGAGGGAAAATCCTCATATGACACTGAAAAAATCTCCCAATTCATTGTCTTGTGAGGCTCAACATAAACCTCAAGCTTTCAGCCTCTGTGCTCTGTCCCTTTGGATTTCTTACCCACATCTTTATTGTTTGCACTTTAGTTAACTTGGACAGTTAAACCAGCCCTGGCCAATCTGCCTCCTGATTTTCAGATGCTCAATCGTCCAGCGTCTGGTTTATTTAGGAAATGTTTATGCTGCTCTATACGTTTATAGCCACTTACAAAGGGAGCAGCACTTATTTGCTCCTCAGTTCAATCCAGCTGTATCCAAGAGTCACATATAGGTGCATTTATCACTCAGTCCTCGAAATACACAGGCTGTAGATACATTGGTGTATGCTGCTAGAAAATGTGTGTGCAGAACGCAAGAGTGAAGCCCCTGAACACCCATCAGCAGATTCCTTGCTTAGTTTGGGTCACCAAAGCCTCATAAAGGGCGTCCTACAAGAACACCTAAGGAAATTCCTCCCTTGGCAAGGGAGATGCTGCTCTCCTCCAGCTCGCCGGCTTCAGCGCAGGGCCTGCGATGTTCTGCTGGCCACAGGCAATAACCAAACACAGCTGGGTCACACAGCCCGAGGTGGCACCCTGGAGAACCAACTCCAGCTAGTAACACAACTGACTGCCGGGTCCTCCTTCAAAATAACCAGCTCCCTCCAAATGCTACTCCAAATACCCAAGCACCTAAAGAGAAAGCAAACACCAAACAACCCTCTCTAGCTTAGAGTTCTGCTTGTGCCTTCAGTCCTCGAATGTTGCTACTGTGATGCCCCAGGGCATTCAATACACACAGAATAAACTCTTGTATGATTATTCAGTGGTATCTCTGCTCTGCATCATCTTTTATCCTAATGAATAGCCCGGAACCACTCTCAAATTGCTAATGTCACCCCATTGATTTCAGGTAAGATGGGGGTCAATATGGCTCGAGGAAGCCTTCAAGGAAAGGGAGAGCAGAACAAAGGGAAAGTAAAACAGTGACTTGATTCCTCGGTTCTCTAAACATCTTCATGATGGATTTAAAAATCATTGAGCAAATCTACAGTTTTGTTTCTATTTGTTTACCTTAGAAACAAGGGCCTCTCATTTTGTCAGGAAACTCATGGGGATTCAGTCACATGGAGAGTTCTGCAGTCCCTCCTTGAAGGGGAAGAGCTTTGAATATAGAGCAGTTTTCCACTCCATGTTTGCTGCATATTTTGAATTAAGTAGTGATATTCACGAATCCCCCCCTTCTCATTCATCCGCTCCCCCCTGCAAAGCTGCTTTTAAACATACACAGAAATGTCTCCATTAACCATCACATTCAGTTTCCTCAAACCTGCAGTACCAACTCAGCCACTTTTTCCAGTGGGTCATGGAGATTTGCAGAGCTGCTGGGGATATATTTCAAGTGGGAGAAAGGATGAGAGAGGAAGACTACAAGTTTTTGAGCCTTCTTATCCAGCGTACAGGACACAAAGGCTCAAACACCTCCTCCTCCTTTTAGTGCAAGGACCACTGCAAAATCCTCTGGGACTGAAGGGCTCCTAGAGGAGGAAGATGAGGGCACCCCAGGTCTGGGACACACACACTGTGCACTAAGGTGAAGGAGGTTCTGTACCTGAGTCCGTTAGACGCAGGGAGTCCTGTGCTGGGGCCCCCGGCACCTCCAGCTTGAGGCAAAGCCCAGGTGCTCTGTGCATTGAGTCTTGTTGTTGACCTTGCTCCATACAAAGCTGGTTTGTTATAGGGCACAAAGCCAAGGCCAGAAGCACTTACTGACGTTGTCCGACTGGAAACTTGATGTGCAGTGGAGGAGTTGGGGAAGTTTATCATGGAGTGCCGGTAGCGCATGGTGATAGGGCCAGTCCCACTGTTAAACCAGCACTGTTGACAAGAACAAACCATCCCTGCGTGAACAGGCCCTGACGTGGCTGTCACTGGGTAAGGAACGTCCAGGCGTCTCTGAACGCTTCGTCGGAACTTCGTGGTCTTGTTGGTCTGGACTTGAGCCACGAAGTCAACTTCATAGTTGTAGCCTAAAGGCCCAAGGTCCACCCGTTGATGGTTTGTGGCGTGGGCTTGCTCCAGGAACACGCAGACGTTCATCTCGTAGGGGGACCACCCGCCTTCATCGTTCTGCCATTCCCACACGACGCCCTGCCCAGCAGCAGAGTCCTGAGGGAAGAGGTGCCTGCGGACGGATCGCATCGTCCCTGCGTGGCGGAGAAAAAACACGTAGCATCTGGTGAGCTCAGGGAAAACAACAACAAAAAAGGGGACTTGGTTTCAGTGACCCATTAGTGCATGGATTTGCTGGTGTGTAAAACAGGGGCGATCCCTCTTGCCTCTCCCTCTGCAAGGACACTAACAGGATTTCCCTTCCCAAGGTGGCTGTACTTGCTCACGATGCTCAAGAGATACGGGATACCTCCGAGATCTCTGTGCTGCTGCCAAACCTGATTGAGGGTTGGCAACAGGTTCAAAAGCTGCTGGGAGGAAGGGTGGGAAGGGAGGGAAAGCGAGAGGCGAGACAGACCAACCCACCCAAGCACAGACACAGGGATCACATATGTCTCACTGCGGTTAAAAACCAGGCTGAGGCACAGATCTGGTAAAAAGCCTTGACAACAGAGTAACTATAGAGACATGAGACCATCAGGAAGTGCTTTACAGAAGCACTTATGGGACTGAACACCTAATCCTGACTGCACAGGGGTCTGGACAACTTCTAGCAAAGTCAAGGCCTTCTGGTGAAGTCCTGCAGGGCAAGAACTTCTCCTGAGAGGGGGTCCAACAGCGCCAACTTCTCCAGGCTCCTTGCTGCTGGGTGATGTAGCACAAGCAGAGAGGAAAAGGCAGGAAAGTAGTTTGGAAACTGTGGAGAACAGCTGTTCACACAGAGGAAGAGGAATGAAAACAGACACGCTGCTTTTCCAAGGCTGCTCTGCGGCTAGAGCCAGAGCTCAAAACTGACTGAAAGCCTCACTCTCCAGGGTGACTTCACTCTTGGTTGCTTTTTTTTCTTTTTCTAAAGAAAAAGGCTGATGAGAAGGAAGGCATCTAACAGGACAGAAGTCCAAGCTCTGCAAAAGTGGCTTCCTGCCTCAGAGTCCAAATCGCTCCTGCTGGGAAAATCCTCAGCAACCCTCAGCCTGGAGAAAGAGGGGCAGGAAATGCTGCAGGGCAAGCGTGTCTGGGGATGCAGGCAGAAGGGTGGTGAACAGGAATGCAGTGATGGGATCGTTATGATAAAGCTGAAGATCAGACACAAAAAGCACCCAGAGAAAGGATGAAAAGCCTGTAAAGACATCATGGGAATTATGACCCTAAGTTTGAGGAGCCAAGGTGCAAAAAGGCTCATTTACAAGTTTTTGCATCTCAAGTCTGTGCAGAACTACCCCAGAATCTTCCTCATGTTTCTGTGGGAGGGAGGTAATCCAAGCAGTCTTAACACCCAACAAGCACACCCCAAGGAAGGAGGAACAACCTTCACTGAACTCCTGATTGCTCCCTGTGCTCAAGTTCTGTCTGGTTTCATGCTAGTTTGGTGCTGGCTCAAGTATCTCTTTTACTCCATACTCTGAGAGACAGGAAAAACTCTTAGGACTCAATTTAAATCATAAGGGCACTTAAATATCGTCTATACCCCTGCTAAAAATTTGTGCTTGACTGCATGGCAGCCATTGTATCTTTTCCTCTTATTGCACTTCCAGGCTTCTTTAAGTCGTGCTTATGTTTTCTGCACAGTGCTTTGGTAGTCTGACCATAACATGAGTCTGAGCTGCGGTACAGAGAGGTTCTAATGTGCCATTTCAAGAATTAAATCAGGAAGGAAAGATCTGAGCTCCAAAGATTAAATGAAGGCTGGTAATTTCTCAAAGGCCAAATGTGCTGCAGTGATGAACAACAGGACTTGCTTTTCTGCTACAGAATTGAAGGCATTAAGAACTGGAAGGACTTGCCCACGTCCATGCAGAGGATGATAGACCCCAACCTGCTGCTTCAGCTGCTGAGCAGCATCAAGTTCCCCTGTTTATTGCAGGGCTCTCCACTGTACAGCACAAAACATCTAATGAAAACAACTAAAAAGCAACAGTGAGATACACTAATCCCTCCGGTACAAGATTCAACTCTGGGTTGAACTCCAATAGCTCAATGAAGCTCAGAGATTGCTTTGGGATAAGACCTTCATCTTGCAGAAATCAGGGTAGAAGATGTCAACAGAACAAAGCTGCTCTTCCCCAAGCCAAGAACCAGCTTCTTGTATGGGAAATGAGAGCACATAGCCAGGAGCAAATTCGAGCAATAACCACTCACATTCAGCAAACAAGCCCTGCCAAGCTTTGAAGAAAGGCATGTGCAAATCTCCGGTCTTAGCAGGCAGGCTACATGAGGGAAGAACTCTTGAGGGAGGGAAGGTTAGGGATGGGGTTGTGCTGAAGCCGGAATGGTGGGAAATGCACTATGTTTAGAGACGAATAAGGGAACCACTGGCAGGACAGAAGCAGCACAGGAAGGATTTTAGGAGCTGGTAACTTGTATCTTTATGATCTCAAAACAGCAGCAGGGAGAGGAGCTTTCAGGAGTCAACAGCAAGACTAGGAGCAAGTGCTTCTTGGAAAATATCCCCCTTCCCCCAAGCTGGCAGGAAAACTGGCATTTCTCTCCAGGGTGGGCAAACAGCTGTAGAGAGAGGACAACTCCTGCTGCTCCTTTCCACTCACTCCCAGCTAATCTGCCTAGACCAGCAGCTGAAGCCTGTAGCTAATCCTGCACACAAGAGCCCCCTCCACAGCTGTCATTCCTGTTGGTGGGGATGCTCATCCCACTAACACTGGCTTCCTGTTATTCTCCCCGGCTTCCTTTGAAGAGCCTATTTGTCTGTAACAGCTAATGAGCAGAATACAACAGCCTATTTTTTTTTTTTGCTCTGTTTAAAGATTTTTCACGGGGATGTTTCCTGCAGAGATTCTTTTCTCCAGCACATGACAAAGGTCAGCTGGCTGCTTGTTCCACAAGGTTTGTGTTTAAGGCAGGCAGTCCTGCAGAGGAATGGAGCTTTGCTTAGATCTGGCCCATAAAGCAGAGCATTCAAGGCTGACACTAGACTAGGTAGGACAGTTACACGTGGAAGAAAACTCACAGGCCTGACCACTCTGATCAGCAACCCTCCAAACCAATGTGAAACACTGTGGTGGTGCTTTGGAGACAGCTGTTTTGTTATTAAAGATCCCACCACAAATACCAGTGAGGGATGATAAGGCCACGTAAGCCAACACAGTTTTCAAAATTTTAGTCTTTTCATAGCCAGCTTCCAGAGATATTAAATTCTAACTCTTCTGCAAAGGACTTCCATCATTTGCAAGGGGTTTTGAGATCTTTCACAGGGGCTAGGGGTGCAAGGCATCTCCAGAGACACCACTCCACTCCTGAAGATGGAAGCCCCATTTACCTTGGGGCACACTGCTCACAGGCCCCCACAGATAACCCACTGCTGCAGGCCAAGATCCCAAACACTCCAACTAATGACAAAAGCCTTTCTGATCACCGTGCCAAGCCACCAGCAGGCCATAGTCTGAAAACGGGTGGTATCCTACAGAGATGGACTCTTGCCTGTGTTGAGAGTCCGGCTGAAAAGGCAAAGAGCCCCAAGGTTCCTTCAGAAGTTTGGCACTAAGAAAGCAAGGAACAGCCACTGGTGTCAGCTCTGGTGGTCTAGGGTGTTTTACGCAAAACTGTAGCCTCTGTGGAGCTTGCAGGTGCTCAGACAGGCCAGGCCTGCTAATGTGAAGCTCCTCAGCCAGGAAACCCTCGCGCAGAACTAATCTCAAAGCCACTGATGACTGCTGGAATGTTAGAATACAAACACAGATGCAGCTGTAAGGACCATTCATTTTGCTCCAGCTGCTTCCCCTTCCTTTAGGGGTTGCCTGAACGGTTGATTCAAGATATTGCTCATTTATTCCTTCAACTGGCAAGGGACCAGTACGTTGTCCATCTCCTGCATCTCCCATCTGACAGCAGCGGGGGTAACAGGAAGGGTATTGGTAGAGGGGAAACTGATGCATGGAGAATTTTCCAAAGCAGACATTCATATGGGGTGTGTAATTTGGAATCTCCCTGAATTTTCTGGTGATGAAGAGCACACATTCCATTCCCATTCCTTTTCTGTGCTACAGCTGCTCAGCACATCTGGAGCAAAAGAGGGTAAGAGTCATCTCAGCAAGCTGTGAGCTGCTAGGCTTGATGACTCCAAAGGAGACAGGATGAGAAGGAAAATTAGGTCTCAGTCCTGCTGCTCAGACCAGCCCATCCTTCCTGCCTAGGAGAAAGCAAGCAAGGCTCCGAGCAGGAGAAGCGGGGGATATTCTGCTGCAGCACTACAGCACCGTGCGGGGGCTGCAGGCTTTTGCAAAGCAGCTTGTGCAGGGCGGCATGCCAAGGCAAAGCAGCTGGCACTCCAGCCGCAGAGGGAACAAGGGACTCAAACGGGAGGGTTTGAATTGTAGAAAGGCCTTTTTGTGCGAGTGGTCTTGAATGAACGCAAGCGGGGGCAGGAAGAAAGTTTCCAGCTCTGTGGGCTCTGGCTCACAAGCACCGAGCTCCAGAGTTCCCAGGAGGAGACTCCATAAGAGGTCACCTCTTGCCTCAAGTCTCTGCCCTGGGAAGGAGCTGGGCTGGTCCGATACCAGCCACACGGCCCTGCATGTCCACATTGGCCAACAGTGATTTGCAGACGGTATCAGGTGAGGAGCAGATACCCTGCCCACCAGAGACCCTCCAAAGTGCCTGGCAGTAGCAGCAGACTGCGTTGCTTTGCAGGGCTCTTCTGCCAGAGCCAGGCTCTGCTTAACTCTGAGCACTCTCAACAAAACCCCAACACAGGCTGGCAAGCTTCCTTACCCGTATCCTGTCGGAACTGCGTCAAACTTGGGATATCGATGACGTAGGGGGCCAAGACAGCATCAGCATGGCCCAAGGGGATGCTGTTGCCAGGTCCCGGCCCCAAACGCCGGCCCTTCTGCTGAGAGGCTTGGAAAACCTGTTCAATGTAGCTGCACACGCTCCCTCGGTAGGGCCTCCACCTCCCGAATTCATCCTGCCATTCCCACACGGCCACGGCCGGGGAGTTGCTGTGTCCTGGGGCAGAGCTGGGGAGCCCCGAGGGCCCAGCTGAACTGCTGCCTGTCCCCTGGGCTGCTGCCATTTCCACTCTGGGATCCAGGGCACAAAATGACTGAAGGTGGCAGCTGCGCTGGCTCTAGACCATCTTCTTCTGAGGAACCTGCATGAAGAAGCAGAGAGAGCAAAGAGAGCTGAGAATGTTGCGCCAAATCCAGGCCACCCCAATCCACACCACACACATCATTAAGAGAGAAACGAGATCAGCCTGTCGCAAAAGATGCTCACTGATGCACTCAGGAGATTACAGAGAAGTAGATCAGCCTCAAAATCCTCTCTGGTCAACGGCAGATCATGTACCACCTCTGCAAGCACTTGCAGCTTCTCTTCCTAGTCTAGAGCATGAGGTTTTCGGAGAAACTCTGCTTCCTACAGCGTGGAGGATCAGATCCTGCCCGAGCTGCTGCAGGCTTGTGTAAAACCGCCCCAAAATTGCTGAGGACAGTTCACGTTTGGCATATCTGAACCCCGACCCGAGCGGCTCGGCAGGAAGGCGCTGCAGCAGGCGCCGTCCCGCACTCCTCCCCTCCCGCGTTCGGAGCCAGCCCTGGCAGCGTCCGCCCCCCAAACCACCCAACGCAGGTTGCCAGCTTGTGAGTAGGAGCTCTGCAAGCACTTGTGTAACTCAGGCTTCTGATCGCTCCGTTTTGATCCAGAATCAGTCCCTTCACTCCCCCTGTGCAGCATTATCACACACACAAAGACAAGCCTTTCTGCCCAAGCCAAGTCTGCAAATCACGCCATAAAAATAGATGTTAAGATTCATCTGAATAAAGAATGAATGGAAGCATGTATGGAGCACAGAGGCATCAGAAGTATCAAAGGGCATATGAAACCACATTACTTAATTTAGCAGGTCATCAAAATCCTACCCACAGCTCATCAGGTTGGAAAGCAAGGGACATTCTGAAACAAGGGACAGTCAATTGACAAAGACTCAAGCCATTAAGAGATTATGCCAAGAAGGACAGAGAATGGGAGCCTTAAGACAGCCAGATAAAGAGACAAAGGCTAGCAAGCAAATCCCGATTACTCGGAAGTGACAGGATGCAAAGACAAAAGATCACAATTACTGTTATCTCCCAAAGGATATAAAAAGGCAGACTCCATGCCAGCACACAACTGCCAAACTGAGAGCTCAAGAGACATCAGGAGGACTTAATGTTTGGCACTTCTTGTCTGCTGTGTCATTGCAAGAAATCCTATCCAGACCATTTGGACACACGCACCTTCGTGACTTAATGCTGGGAATATCACCTAGAGAAACCCATATTGGTGCTTGGATGCAGAGAGACTGCGAATGAGTGAAGTCAATTTTATTTTAAAATAAAACCACCTTCTCCCTCCTAAGGTCTCAGGTTGTGTTTAACTACCAGCAGTCAACACGGAGCTACGAGCCTCCTTCCTGCCCAATGGAGAGGTCCAGGTGCCCAAGATGCAGATAAGCAGTGGGTGGCACCTACTCCACACGGAGAGTGACAGTCCTGACGGACGGGGGAAGATCCCGAGCTGCTTGGAGAGAGATCCATCACTGTGCGTGGTTCGCTAGCTTAAAAAAAGGAAAAAAAAATGGTGCAAAGACACACCCACATGTCTGCATTTATAAGAAGAAACCAACATTTTCTCCAGGAATTCATTGAAAATTAGTTATGAGTCGCTCCATTAGATTTTTAGAGAACACCCCCGGCTTCACGCCGTTGGCGACAAGCTGCTCTAGCAGAAGGCTCTGGTCACAAAAGGCTTTTTTTTTTTTTTTTTCTCCTCCTCTTAACCCAGTCTCTACCTACTGCACCAGTGCGGGTTATTTTACTGCTCAAAACAGTAAATTACTTCACACAAACATCTGATATCGAATCTGACACCTGCCTCTGCTGGTTCTTTCCATGGCAGGTTTCACACCAACACTACTACTCCTCAGAGACCATCCGCGTTTCCACGCTGCACTTGCAGTATGAGTTTCTGTCCTACCCAGTTACGCTCTCCTTAGATGCTCTGAACCCCAATTAGGGAACCGACACCTGGGTTTCCTCAAAGTCTTCATTACCCAACACTGACCTGCAGATCCTACAGTCACCAGCAGAGCAGTAAGAGGCTTTTTGGAGGGAGTCAGGGGTTTGTTTTCCTTTGTTTTTAAAATATAGCGGCGGAAAACGCTAAAACAGAAGGGATGGCAGCAGCAAAGCACCGAAGGCCGCCCCGTCCACGTGCCACCTCGCGCTCCCTGCGACACCAGAGAGGTAACAAAGCTCTATTATCCACTTCCTCGGAAGGCAGCGATGCTCTGGGTTCTGGACCGCGTGCGCCCAGCAGCGCCCGCACGCAGGCGAAGGCGGCGAGCGGCTGCCCGCGCGCCTGGCGGGCTCCCACGTTGGCTCCCTGTTGGCAAGGGGAACTATTTCCTGGAGCTGCTGGTCCAAAGGAGGAGGAAAGGAGGAGGAAAGGAGGAGGATATTTCAGCCTCCTGCCAGCTCTTGCCACTGGATAGTGCTCTAGCTAGCAGCTGTTTGCCAGGATTGGGAAGCAAGGGATGCCCACCACCCAACGCAGGAGAGAACTTCAGGGGGCTGAAATCACAAGAGTACCTGAGTTAAGGCAAAGAAGACAGGAAAAAAAAGGCACAAAGTTGCATTTCTTTGAATTCAGACACTCACATTCAACACCAAAGTTGCTCATACTTTTTTTCCATCTACCCTCCGGGCTGGTGTGCACATTACACACACAGGCAGAGAGGATTTGGGGCAAGCTGCTAACACAGCTGTATGGAAGGGGCTGGCCGTGGTGTTGGTTGCACACCCTGCACCCGCTCTGCTGCACTGCATTCGGGCGCCAGCAGCAATGCAGCGTTAGCAGCGCCGCATGCCAGCACACATCCCTGCCAGCCCTGCCTGCTGCTGCACCCGCTCCTCCGCGCTGGCCCTTCCCAGGGAGATTTGCAACCACTGAGAGAGGAGCCACACGGCTTTGCAAAATCTCTCAGTCTAACCCTTCGCCTTCAACTTAAACAAAAATAAAAATCTACAAGTCAAACCTACCCCAAAGAACCACGTTTATTCCGCAAACAATCCTTGGCTCCAATTAGAAATCCTAAGGTGCCACCATGCCCCAAGTGAAAACAGCCTGCTACTTGAAGTGCAAACTTAGAGCAGTCCAGCTAAGTGTCCTCCGCCTGCAAGCAGATTTTTAACTAGGTTCAGACATAAACTGGATTCGGTTTGGTTTGTTCTCCACACCCCAGCACACCTTTTGCAATAGCTGCCCACAAGGTTTCGTTTAAGTGAACTTGGATGAGCTGAAGATTGGTGCAGAGATCTGGTGCATTTCAGTTGTGTTTCCCAAGCTGATCCACCTCCTGCTCCTCAAGCTCCAGCAAAACACGGTCAGAAAGTGGCAGGTAGGACAAGCAGCTATGGGGGGAATGAAAGCATCTTAAAGCTACATTTAATTCTCAGACCTGCTCTACTTAATATAAAACAGAATTTTCTTTTCCTCTAAAAGTAAGACCTTAAAAGTCAGAATTTTTTTTAAGCATATGCTTTTTAAAGACCCCCACATCCCTTTTTATGTTCCTGACCTGAAATCACCAGTGCTAATAATAAGTGATGAGCTACTTTGTACCACAAGCACAGAAGTCCTAGGAAGCCCTTGTGCTGGGTTGAGGCTCTGCTCAGAACCCATCAGAACGGGAGTCTCCAGAGCATGGAGCCTTCTTGGCTTGTTGTTGAGACAAGAGAGTGCCCAAGTGCCACTGACAACACATGAGAGCTTACCCTGGAAGGGTTACAAACAAGCCCTTATAGATAACTGCTGGGAAAAGATTATACACAGATAAAAAATGTAGGTAAAATATAAGAAAGAGTGGGGATATGATAGCCCTTTGCAGAGGGTGGGGTGTATCACCGTAAGGCCACACGAAGACCAGCTGTGACATCCAGTCCCCCTCCAGCACCCAGCACAGGAGGAGGTGCAAACACACTCGTGCAACAGCTTTCCCAGAGCCTCTGCAAGGGGTCCAGGCTCCTGCTGGGTATCTGGGGGTGAAAGCGGGTCCTCGACTCACAAATCCTACACACTCCATAGCTCCTGGAGCAAGCGAGACGTGGGCTGACACCGTCCAAAGAGACGGCTCACCCAGCACATCACCACGGCCAGACTTGGCTCCCCAGTCACCCACAGCCTGACCGCTGGCAAAAGATGCTATAGGTGCTGCTTCGAGGTGCTATAGGTGCTGCTTCGAGGTGCTAGTTTCTACCTGCGACGGGAACACTTTGCCAAAAGACTACTCAGCCCTGGCCAGGAACTTGGGAAGATCAGCACCACCACACGGAGAAACGGGAACAGAGTCTTCAAGTGAGGAGCAGGGGAGGTTCCCTCTCCAGCTCTGCTGTCTTGGGGCAGTCATTTAGTTTCTTCCAAACATCTGATTTCTGCCCCTTTGGCTGCTTTAATCCCATCTTTACTACACACACACGTGCCCAGCACTGAGGAGCACAACCCAGGAGGTGGGGAAGAGCCAAGTTGCAGAGAGAAGCCCAGCAAGGCCCTGCCGAGACACAGCCCTGCTCTCCTGCAGCCCTCGCTGGAAATCACAGCTCAAGGTGGCTGGTTTGGCAGCCCGGAGAGCGGAAGATATAAAACCTGTCCGCACAAAACCTGGATCCCCTCCATTCAAAACAAGTTGCAAGAAAATTCCCTTTGGAGGAGGAAATAAAGAGTGCAAGTGAAGCAGAACAAAGCATTTGCCTATCAACTAGGCGGAGAGCTTATTTCAGGCACGAATGAATAGGAATGCTGAGGCAAAGGGAACAAGGTAGGAACGCCTGAATATAAGAACAGTTGCCTGGCATCAAACCAAACCCAGCATCCCAACACACTTGCTCCAGGGTCCTTCCAGGGCACTGAAACGGGAGATTATTTACTTGGGGGGAGATTTACTCATGGGAGTGCAAACCTGGCAAAATCCTGAGAGCTTCTCTGTTTTCCTCACAGCTTCAATTAATACCAAGAAAGGGTTTTTTGTTTGTTTGTTTTCTCCATTTTCTTTTTGCAGGTAGGAAGAAACCCCCCTGCCCATTCTCAGGAAGCCAGTTCTCCAATGATGCCAGCACTCACACCGTCTGGAGGGCAGGCTCCCTGCTGGATCATGCAGCTGGTTCCCAAAATATTACACCAGAAGTCAAAAGTCAAGGCCCTGCCATGGGAGCTGGTGATTCATTCATTTTACAGCCAGTCCTTCCACTTTGCCATACCACACACCCCGTCAGAAGTTAACGACGACCACATGAGATTTAAATAAAACATGACACGGCACAAACACACGCACATCGGCCAAGCTCCACCACCTCCTCGTTTAAACACACCGGCTCCTCACTGGAAAACCAGAAAGCACTTACAATTACCCACGGATAATTTGCTATTTCCAAGCTCCTTTCACAAACCTACCCTCAGCTTTGGAGGTGAATCAGGAGTTGTCCAGGCAGTAGCGAACACCCACACAAACATGAGAGATCCTGGAAGCAAAGAAGGAATTCAGAGTCTCAGCAAAGCAGAACCACGTCCTTGCTCTCTAGGCCATGCCACCACATCACAATTCCTTAAGTGCGATACTGTTAAGGCAGCAGATTTTCAGGAGAGCTACAGGATGGTTCCTCAAGGCAGAGAGGAGCTGCCCTGGAAGCCCGAGGCTTCCAAAGACCCTGTTCCCGGCTGCCTGTCCCTCCTGTTCATCCTATATGAGCTCTGCTGCCCCTCGGACCCCTCTGCAAGGGTAAGCACACCAGCAAGCCCGCCAAAACCAGACCCAGCGGAACCGCAGCTGGATTTCTGCTGGGTTAGCGAGCGAAAAGGCTCTGCAAGACACGAATGGGACCGGCCGAAGGACTCTGTGAGACAGGAAGGTCTCACAGGACCGTGTCCACACGGAGCCC